GAGGGGCTGGAGCATGTCCAGGGAAGGGAATGGAGCTGGGGGGGCTCAGCCTGGAAAAAAGGAGGCTCACGGGGGACTTTCTGTCTCTCCACAACTCCCTGACAGGAGGTGGCAGCCAGGTGGGGTTGGGCTCTGCTCCCAGGGAACAAGGGACAGGACAAGAGGAAAGGGCCTGAAGCTGTGCCTGGGGAGGTTTGAGTGTTTGAGTTGGCCATCAGGAGGAATTTCTTCAAGGAAAGAGTTGTGGAGTCCCCATTGCTGAAGATGTTCAAGGAACAACTAGTCATGGCATTCAGAGGATGGTCATTATAAGGTTGCAAGTTTGTCAGAGGCTGGACTCAAGTCTTGGAGAGATTTTTCAACCTCAGAGAATATGGGTTTGTGGTGCCTCCCTAGGAGGACTGGGAGGAACTGGGTGGCCTGAGAGGACAATTGGAGGCAACTGGGAGTCTTGGTGAGGGGTGTGGTCGCCCACTGGGAAAATTGGGGGTAAACTGGGAGGTCTGTGAGGCAATGCCCCAAGGTACACCAGAGTCTAACTGGGCCATCATGGCCACTAACCCCTCTACCCTGCTGCTCCTGGTGGATTTCATGGACARTTGTAACCCTTGACTGACCCCCACCAGGTACTGGAAGGCACTGGGAGCTACTGGGACTATGTTGGGAGCCAACTGAAGACACACATGGAGCAAATGGAAGATGCTGGAACCATGTTGGGGGTACTGGGACCACAACTGGGACGACTGGAACCATGCTGGGTTCATACTGTGAGTGTCTGGAATCACACTGGGGGCATCTGGTATCACACTGGAAGTGCCTGGGGTCATAGTCGAATCATTCTGGTAGTGACAGGAATTAACTGGGACCATTGGGAGTGTGACTGGGATCATACTGGGGAGTGGTTGTCATCATATTGGACTCACACTGGGGAGTTACTGGAAGGCACTAGGATCATATTGAGGGGAACTGAAATCATACTGGGATCAAACTGGTATAATTCTGAGAGTGACTGGAACTATGCGGATGACTGGGAGCAATGGGAACCACACTGGGAATGGCTGGGATCACACTGGGACGGTAACTACACTGGGAGCGCCACGGCACGAGGCGCCCGAGGGCGGGGCGGGCCCATGCAGATTTATGCTAATGAGCCCGCGGTACCAGCGAGTCGCGGAGTCGGCGGCGCAGAGCGGCGGCGCGCGGGGCAGCGCGGGAGGAAGTGACGTCACGATCAGCGCGGAGTGGCGGGAGGTTTGAAAGGGCGCGGCGGCGGCGAGTGGCGGGCGTGAGGGCACGGCCCGTGAGGGGAGCGGCGGGGGAGGGGGTGTTCGGGGGGACCCGGGAGAAGCGGGGGGTCCCGGGCACCTGGGTCCGCCCTGAACCCCCGTCCCCTCCAGCCCCGCCGGACGCCTGAACTCACCCTGACCCCGCGGTGGGCTCGGTCTCGCCATGCCCCGGCCCAAGCCCACCCCGCGACGGCGCGCCCCACCCCCAGCCCCGCCATCGCCCCAGCCGCGGGCACGCAGTGAGTGAGGGCTGGGGGACTCCCCTTCTAAACATCCCTTATGGATCTGCCACATCGAGCCCCCTTTTAGGCCCCCCTCTAGAGCACTCGTATGGAACCCTCTATAGAGCTCCCCTTATGGGCCCTTCCCCACGTAATTCCCTCCCGCCCCCTACTTGTGCCCTGTATACCGCTATACCTCACCTATAGTCACTCCACACTCCCTGTCCCCTATACCCTATTCCCTATGACCCCCCATACTCTGTCCCCTATAGCTCCCTTATATCAGCCGTCCCCTGTAGCTCCCTATAGATCCCTCATGCCCCCTGTCCCCTAGAACTTACAGATCCCTTAACACCCCACAGCTTCCCCCTGCTCCCTATATCCCCCATAGATCCCCTATAGCCCCCTGTGTCCCCCCAGGCCCTATAGATCTCCTATACGCCCATGTTCCCTCAGAGCCCCCCATCTGTGCCCCCCCCCAAGCCTAATAGATCCCCTAAACCCCCCACACCCAATGTCCCCCAGGGCGCCGTCCCGGTCAGCGAGCACTGCAGGAGATCCGCAGGTACCAGAGCAGCACCCGCCTGCTGCTGCGCTCTGGCCCCTTCGCCCGCCTGGTGAGAACGCCCCACATCCCAAAATGAACACTCCTGCACCCCAAAATCCATGRACCTCCCAATTTCCCCCACAGAACCTCCCCAACATCACCCACAGACTCCCAAACGCCCTTTGGACCCCACAAATCCTCTCAGATACCCATCAATCTACTTTGGGACCCCTAAATCCCTCTAGGACCCCCCCGAATCCACCCCAGGACCTCCAGCATTCTCTGGGTTCTCCCAAATCTGAATGGATCCCCTTCCTGGGATCCCCAAATCCACCCCGGGAGACCTCAGATCAACCCTCGATGACCCTGCAACCTCCCCCAGAGCCTCCAAATCCACCCCAGAGCCTTCAAATGCACCCTGAGTCCCCACAGAACTCCCCCAAATACTCACTGGGACCCCTCAAACAATCCCTAGGACTCCCCAAATCCAGCCTGGGACTCCTGAAATTCAATCTAGAACCCTCCCCTTGGACCTCCCCCCAAACACCCCTAGGACCCTGCAACCCCCTTGAGCCCTGCCAAATCCACCCTGGGAACCCCCCTAAATCCTCACTCAGGACTCCCCCAGATACCCATTGGGACCCTCTAACCACCTCCATAACCCCCAAGTTTCCCCCCAGAACC